TCCGTCAGGGGAATCGAACCCCCGCCGCATCGGTGAGAGCGATGAATCCTAGCCACTGGACCATGACGGATTAGCTATACTCATGCTGCCTCTTAGTTTATTAAGTGATAAATCCAAAACATGCTGCCATAAAAATTGTTCATAATGACCAGTGAGGGATTCGAACCCTCGCATCTTACGATACAGCAAGACTTGTTGGGACAAGTCCAAGGATAACTTGAGTGCTGCGCCATAGACCGCTCGGCCAACTGGCCTCATCAGCTCTGTAATGCTCTGTGTACATTATAACGCGTTGTTTGTACAATTTAGCAAGCGTACGTCATAAGTTTGTAGAGGTGTAACTAACATATTGCTAGTTCAGGAAGTGTGCCTTGACAATTACTCTAAGAGATCATTAAACAGAAAACGTTAAAAAGACCCGGTCAGGGAGGACTCGAACCCTCGACCTCACCTTAACAGTCGTGCGCAATAACCAACTATGCTACCGACCCTATCTGCGAGATTGATCGCATCTGCTCCTGGTGAGGCTCGAACTCACGACCTTCCCTATCACACAGTATAGTATGAGAGGGATGCTACCACAACTGAGCTACAGAAGCATCTTCTCCCTCTTGCATCATTAGTATTTATGATAAAATTTGGAAGCGTATTTCAATACGTATCCGGCGTATTTAACAACATTTAATTGAAATTACACTTTATAATGATCAATACATCCGCAATCTAAGTGCACATTCTTTGTAGAGACATGTTTCAATTTAAAAACAAAAAAATTTATCCTCGTTTAAGTTTGAAGAAAATGCAATAACCAAGTAATCTTAATTCGCTTATCATGTTCATTTTAGCGAGAGACAACTGTCTCTTATAGCTCAGTTCTAGTCAAGAACTTTATAGCGACTTTAAGCGACAAACTCTCCACTCTGAGCGACAGGTTTAGAATTTAGGAATTCTATCCCTTTATCTTTATAACATTCCACTGTGTTTTATAAACATTTCGATTTTTATTTTCTACTTAGCAGTGAACGACTGGTCTTCTAGCGTTCACTGTTTTAGTATTTATATTAATAATTTAATATATAATCTTAGATTGGTTTTGTAGAATAACCAATTATGTTTTGTGATCAAAGATGTGAACTTTGAAATTTGTAAAAAGAGAAGTCACTAGAAATTTGCATCGAATAGGTTTGAAGCTTATTTGCAAATCTCAAACCTTTCGTGGATCCGCCACATCTTGGATTTGATGTGAATTCCTAGTGGCCTTGACAGTCCCCCTCCTAGATTTTGTTGTTGCAAAATCTATGCGTTTGGGCTGCCAACGTTGTCAACGGTAGTCCTAGCGCTGTTCTTAATCCGGGTAAAGTTCCTTATCCAGCTTATGTTTTCTGAAGTAAGCTCTCAATTCTGTGTGTATATGTCTTTTGACAATTCTAGCGGGTAACCATCCTCTGTAGTTTGTATAAATTTCCTCTCCTGTTTCCTTGTTATTTGTTTTCCTGTGGTATTTGCACAAGAATAACAGCCGTTTTTTGTATTGAGCGTGATCGAGAATGAGAATTATTCCAGAGATGTTTTCGTAGTTTCCGAATACCGTTTTTGTGTCGCGTGGGTAATATCTTTCCAATTGTGACACATGAAATATAGTTGATGAGTTCTTCTTTTGGGTTTCTGATAATCCTAATTCCACAGTAAGTTTTCCATGAACCTTAATGATTTTGAATGGTCCCTGATATCTTGTGTCCAACTTATGATCGTAATCCCAGAATTCGTTAAATCCCTTTTTGATTAATACCAAGTCTCCGACCTTGTATTCTGGTTCCTTTTCTGCTTTTAGATCAAAGTAGTGTTTGTGTCGTTCGTTCGCCTCTGAGATGTTTTTTCGAATCTTGTCATGTATTTCCGCAATTTTTAATAGCGGGACACGGAATGTTTTCCCTGGTGTCAACGTGTCTATATCCGAAATGATTGCTTCTCTTCCATAGTTAGCGAAGTATGGGCTCATTTTCGTCGTGTCTGATTTCGTTGTATTATAATTAAATTCAGCTCTTTTCAAAAATCTGTACCAGTTAGTAGGACAATCGGCGACGTAATGTCGCAAGTAAGTTTCTAGAATTTGGTTAATTCGTTCTGTTTGGCCATCCGTTTGTGGATGATATCCGGATGCTAATTTTAATTTGATTCCAATCGCATTAGTATATTCTTTCCATGCTTTCGATGTAAATTGTGGGCCACGATCGCTCACGATTTCTGTTGGTTTCCCAAATGCATGAAGAATATTATTTTCAATCAATTCCTGCAATTGCGCAGTATTGCAAGTTTTGTGGCAGGCGATAAATTTTGCCATTTTGGTGAATCTGTCGACAACAACAAGTACCGAGTCATATCCATTTGACTCTGGAAAATCTGTAATGAAGTCCATCGAGATAGATTCCCAAGGAGCTTGTGGGATTCCTAACGGTTGTAATTTTCCGTAAGGTCTGTGCCTTCTAAATTTTGTTAGTTGACATGTAGGACATGTCTTGACATAATTGTCAATTATCTTGGTCATTCCGACCCATTGGAATCTTTCCGAAATTTTCTTTCGCATTTTGTTTCGGCCGACATGGCCGCCATTTAGAGGATCGTCATGAAATTCTTTAAGAATAAGATCGATATGTTTTCCCTCTGCTGGTACAACAATTGCGTTATTTGCATTGCAAATTAGGTTTTCTGGAGTGATGGAATAGCCTTTGGCTTTCCTTATTTTCTCATCATTGTATAATTCTTGAAAAAATTCAAGGTTTTGCGAACTCTTTAAAATCTCCAATTTTAACTCGTCCTTTTGGACTGTTAAGCTATTAAGTTCCGTTCGATATCCTTCTTCATAGTCTGGTCGCCGCGATAGTGCGTCTGCAGCGCTATTCGTCGATCCGGGCCTGAATATGATATCGAAATTAAAGTCACTTAAAGCATAGATCCAACGCTGGATCTTTTTCGGCAATTGTTCATGTGGTTTCTTAATAAAATGTATTAGATTCTGGTGGTCAGTAAAAATCTGAAATTTTTCTGTTGTTCCTTCCAGATAATAATGCCAGTGGCGACATGAAGAAAGTATTGCATAGAGTTCTTTTTCCGCAGTTGACCAATTCTGTTGAGTTCTTGTCAATGCGTGTGAATAATAAGCAATTGGGTGAAATTTCCCTTCTATTTCTTGTGATAAAATAGCGCCAATTGCGAAGTCGGATGCGTCCGTTTCAAGGCGCGTTTTTCTTCCTTGCTTAAAATAGTGGAGAAATACTTCGCTTGAAACAACCTTCTTGATTTCTTCGAACGCCTTTTCTTCCTTTTCAGTCCAATTGAATTTTGTATTCTTTCTAGTCAAATCATTTAATGGTTTCGCTATGTCGGAAATTTCGGGAATGAATTCTCTAACATAGTTGACATATCCCATGAATGATTTAACCTGTTTGGGGTTCTTAGGCCTTCCCCATTTTTTAATCGAAGCGACCCTTTCCTCGTCTGGTCGTACTCCATTCCTTGTAAAATAGTGGCCAATAAATTTTATTTCGTCTTTGAAGAATTTGCACTTCCTCGCATTTATTGTGCATTTTGCTTTGTGTAAAGTAGCCACAATTTTCCTCACATCTTCAATATGAGTTTTTTCGTCCTTTGAAAATATTAATATGTCGTCCATATATACGACACATTTTTTGTTTATGAATTCTCGAAGGATATTTGAGATGAATCTCATAAAGTAAGCTGGGGCATTTTTCAGTCCAAAGGGTACAACTTGGTACTCGAAGATGCCCATTTTTGTGATGAAAGCTGTTTTCCATTCGTCGCCTTTTCGGATCCGGATTAAATGATAGGCGCTTTTTAGATCCAGCTTTGTAAATATTAATCCTCCTTCTAGCTGAGTGATTATGTCCGCGTACGAGGGCAATGGGAACTGAAATGTCTTTGTCACTTCATTCAGAGGTTTATAATTTACAACCATTCTGAATTTTTCGGGGCCTTCCTTCGCGACAAAGAAGGTATTGCAGACAAAGCTTGATCTTGAGCGAGTAATATATCCATTTCTAAGTAATTCTTCCAGCTTGTCTTCCATGATTTTTGTTTCAGTGGTCCTAGCGGAATGCATTTTGCCTTGAACTCTCTCGGTTGTTCTTTAAACTCAATTTCCATATCCAATAGAGAGTGTTCTGGCAATTCTGCTTCCTTAAGCGCAAAAGCTTCCAATTGGTCATGCAATTCCTTTGGAATAAAATTTTCGATCTCTGAAATTTTGTAATTATTTTCATCTTCGAATAGTAAATCTTCCGCTTCTTTTTCCGCCACTCGTAAATAATTTAAGCGAATAACATTTGTATTAGTATGACTTTGGCGAGTCTCTTTTCCAATCTTGACTTCGCCAGTTCCATGATAAACGACAATGTTATGCTCCCTTAGTACATCGTTGCCAATAAAAATGTCTGGTTTGACTCCATCAATAATCTTGAATCGAACGTGAAAGGACTTAGTGTCCAATCGAATCTTCATGATTATTTCTCCCAAAATCTGTAGCTTCTGGTATCCCGCACAGAACGCATATTGAGTAGTCTTGTGTGCTTTGTAAATCAATTGATAGTAATTAACAAAGTCTAGTGACAAGATACTAGCGTTAGATCCATTGTCGATGAGTGCGGATTCGACCATATTGAGTTCGTGTATAAAAATGTTCACGAAGATTTGGCCGTTGTCATTTTTATTTTGGGTTTTCCTTGGGAGTTCCAGTGCATTTATATTGACATCCACGAGTCAATTCGATTTTTTGTGTGGATTTTCCTTCTTTTGGAAATTGTATTTTGGTTGGCTTGAACTTGATTCATTATTGCTATGACGAATGTATTTCGGGTTATAATTGGGAATGAAATGTCTTCCTTTGTAACCACTATTCGCCGTGAATCCTTTTCCTTTTGCCACTTGAAGATTTTCTCTCTCTGATTTTCTCTTCTCAGGAATTCTTTCTGGCGCTCTATCAAACAGAGTCTCAAGAAGAGTCATTGGGTCTGTTTTATAGAGGTCATTGTTCCAGAAATATTCCCATTGAGAATCCGTAGTGTGTAGATATATTGACAATTTAATTTTGTCCTCCTGTGAAGTTCCAGGATAATTCCAAAATTTCCTTATCCCTTCGTACAGTTTGCGGATTTCTCCTCTCCTAGCATAGATTCGAAGACTTCCGAGGAGTTTTCTTCTTGCCCTTGCGAGATCAATTTTTAGAATATCGCATGTTATT